AAAAGACGATTTTTTCAACTCATCACATGGGAAGACCATTTTAATCTGAAGAATAGGGCTCTCTCTTTTGTTTCTATTCACGTACCTGGCCAGAGATATTTTAACCAAGGAGAGTTTAGATAATACCATACAAAATTTATTAATTATTTGATTTTGCATAACACCACTGCTTTATCTACCAATGTTCTGCTTATCTTCCAAAGTAGCTTCAGCAAAAATATATTTAAAGCAAGCAACTGTTTCTAAAGTTTTTATTTTTTAACCTTGAAATACTACATATACTAAATTATACAACAATATTTCTTGTTTTACAGAAAAGAAAAGCATGTCATTGCTGTCACTTATGTACTTACCAATCTTCTTATATATATAGTACAGTTAGCTGCAAAGTAAAATTGTAAATTAAGTTTCTGGTCACATTTTCGAATCATGGTGATAAATCAACGCAATTTTAGGGTATGTGTTAGTTGTTTACACAAAAGTGACATATTTCCATCAGACAGTGATGTGGCATACATAGAAATAACGGTACAATTGTGCGTGGGGCAACGTGATGTTCAGTTTGTTAGGAAATCAAGTTTAATGAATTTAAATGTGTTAGACCTCTGCATTATGTGTTTCCGTGTTACATAAGGTCTTTTGAACAATTTCAGCATATATTTACATCTAACTGCAATTGCTGGGGAAAATAAGGACCACTCATATACTATATGTGTAATTTGTGCTGTTTTGGCAAATATATGATATATATGTATATGAAATAGACACAGTTACGAACTTAAGTATGTAATATTGTCTTTAGCCGGTAAACAAGAAAAACTATCAGAGCAAATATGTTACGTGCCAAGTGATCAGTGCTTTGTCGACAATTTTGTTCAAACCATTTTTATTTTGGTTTTTTCTTGAATTCAACGACAGAAATATGTGACTATATAGGCACCGGCGTCTGGTGGCTAAATAGCCACAACATCGCTTCGTACCTGGATATTAGAGAGGATAATATAATCGATTAGAGTGCTTCTTAAATGGTGTATTAATACCAAATCTCAAGTTAAGTTTGCCATAACGGTGATGTCTGACGTCCGATCGCTCTGTTCGTCGGTGTAAACGGGCGTTTTTTAAGACGTGCGGTTTTAACATGGCATTAGTTTTTTCGGGGTTGGTGTTTTTGATAGTTGTTACTTGGTTTATACACAGTTTGGCTTGCCATTTCATAATAAACAGACTTACACCGGAATAACGTTTGCAAATTGTGCAAAGTTATTACCAAAACTGGCTGGAACTTATTCGAGCCTGCCGTAGCGGTCACTTGCCTACAATATTTGTTAAGTCACAATGATAAGTCCTTATCTTTATGTTAAAGCTAAATTTTTGCCATGCCATTAAATTATATGAGTTTTGTTTGGGAATTAGATTTTTTCATTGTAGAACATGTAAATAGTTATGTAATTTATTTGATATACCAATTGTTTATTGTCATAATTAAAGGTACAATTATTTATATATTTCACTAATAATCTTTTTTACAATACAACTAAAATTATAATAATTGTGTTGTTAATTGGAACAGAAGCTTTGCAAATATTTTGCTTTTCTCATACAAAAACGATTTGAGGGAACCACTGATAGTCTTAATTACACTTGAACTGAAAAGCGGACAATTAAAACATACCACTGGCATGGTTGTATCTCTCTTCACACTCATACACTCTCAAAAAATAGAACGTTTGAATCTTTAAGATTGCCGATTACTAATATAAATGACCAGCTTAACGAGCTGACTCGATTAAGTCATGTCCGTCTATCCGTCAGTACCTTCCATCTGTATATACGCGAACTAATCCCTCAGTATTTGGATATCGATCTTATATATATTTTGCTCATGTGTATTACTCTCTAAGAAGCTATTCATTTGTCGGTATCGGATATCTATGGCATATAGCTGCTACTAACTGACAGATAAAATTCAATACCTTGTATGGACTACTTTCTTATTTAAAAAGGTACCCTCATGAAATTTGCATAGATTATTATTCAAGGCAACGCCACAATCTCCGCATAAATTGTACAGATCGGACCACTAAAGCATATAGCTGCCATTCAAACTGACAGATCAAAATCAAGATGAAGATCTTTTTATATCTTTTTATGCTATAAAAAATGCACCTGTGAAGGGTATTACAGCTTCGGTGCTGCCGCAATTAACGTTTTTTCTTGTTTCTATTAATAAGTGCCTGTCTTTTATCTCGTTATTCTTCCAAAAATATGTATGCAATTATTCAGTGAGCAAAAGAAGCAAAGAAAACGGAAGCCAGAAACTAGGAAAACTGAAAATCACATTTTCACCCCATACTTATTAACAGTTTTACAACATACACAATTGAAAACGCCAGCAAAATTTTCATCTAACGCAATTATAAGTTTTGAATTCGTTTTTCTTTTATTTGTATTATTTAATAACAGTTCTGTGATACTTAGAAATGCATATTTAACACAAACTATGTGAGAAAAATGAGCCAATAATTGAGCATTTCCGCGCTCCGAATTCAGAATATTTCTTTGAAAGCTATTGTTATTGTTGTCAGGTCAAGAAACATTTTTAATGATTGCGCTGCCATCAGCTGATAAATAAGGTATTATTGGTGCATTCAGAGTTTCTGATTTTATATTTTATCGTAATTTGTAATTGAGTATCGAATAGCGTTTCTACAAAGCTGTTGTTAAAACTAGCTTGTTATACCTATTTGACAACAATAAAATACAATACAATGTTTAAATCACTGTGTTTTAGAATCTATGCCGTTTTCCAATGCACATTTTGTCAAGAGAAAAAGTGAAAATATTTTCTTTTGCCAGCTGTGCTGTGCAACTTTTCAAAGACATGTGAGTTTCGAAGTTAAGTTGGCGCTGTCTCTTTACTCATTAGCCGTTAATTGCTTTGCTTCGATTACAACGGACTTGCGATTACACCTCGTTCATTCGCTGGCATTGGTAGAGTAATCATTAATCATTACACTGATGCTTAATATTGTAAAATGAGAATATAGAAACCGATATACTTAGCGTATATTTGTAATTTTTTTGTTGTGGTGTTTTGTATCTCGATTTTTCACATGATTAATTGCTATGTAATGAGTTGAATTTACAATAAGTATTATACTGCTATGCTACCATATGTATATAAACTCGTTATGCCCTGAATTTTAAAAGCCATCTCTCTCTACTTTGTAAGTAGTTTAAACGAGTTGCTTAAATTTAACATATACATACAAATCTCCATAAGATCTTCTCTTGATGAGAAAGTTTCAACAATGACCACTGTTTACTCTCTCAGTCACTCCACATCATTTCTATTTGTATTACGATAAGTCGTGATTGTGTCGATAATGAAAATTTAAAAAATGTAATTTGGATATAAAAATTAATCATGACGGAGTGTGGCGAGGACACTAAAGTTCCGTTTAAGATATTATAATCATTCAAGTGGACAGATAGACTTGATTTGTGGCTTAAGGGCTATTTTAATATATTTGATAAATATCATCCTTTTTTTATATTTGATTAGTTTAGATATTTTTATATCTCACTAATAGGTTTTTTTCAAAGTCAAATTATGGGTTTTTTTCGAAATTGTTGCCAATAATTATTCTTTAAAATTCATAAATAAATATTGTGTTCTTGTAAGTTGTTAGTGCTCCTTTTTTGATTATTATTGCAATACAATATTGAAATATGCAATTTACAAAAATTTGGCAATTAATTATTACAAAGTGTACTTTTTGATGCACTGCCAACGCTGACTTTCCAACAGGCTTGTCGATTTCCGTTGCCATTTGAAACTTCACTCATTTCATTTCAATTCGTTTCTGAAAAAGTACGGATATTGTTAAAAAGTAAAAATTACTACAAAGCTTTTAAGTGAAAATAAATGTTGAGTGTTATTTTGGCAAATAGTAAGTGTTTGAAGTATTGTAACAAAATATTGGCTGTAATAAATACATGTATTCGTGTGAAAGCATAAACATATGATAAGGAGCAGTACTAGGCAACTATTTGTCAAAGGAGATTCCCTCTTTTGTTGTTACAAGCGGCTGAGAGTTCTCTTATCTCATTTTATAGCAAAATTTATTATAGCATTTCTGTTCAGAAGAAAATTTGTGACCATAAAAATAATGTGTAGCATACTTTTCGGCGATCATAAGGAATACGCTATATAGTTGGAAAGTTTAAATTGACTCAGCTTACAGTGTGAGAGTTACTATACTAAAGAATTTCTTAAAAATGAATTAAATAATTTAAATTTCGAAAAAATATTTGCTTTAATTTTTCGCAAATTTCAGTAGTTTATAACTAGATAAATAACATGTCATGCATGTACTAACAATTAATATGTCAAATATTTTTCGAGTTATAGCCTTCTAAAGCGTAGCGGCTCAGTTTAGTGGGCGTGGCTCCGAACACCTTTAGGTGAAATTCCATATCTCAACCTTTTTCGATACATAACATTATACTGACATTCCTATATTACGGTGTAAGAATTAGCGAAATCGGAGCAGAACTACATATGTCTACTTCCCATATAACGAAATTTTTAATTCCATCTGATTTCTTCGCATAACAGCTTACAAATCAAGCACCAATGCATATATTAAGATAAAATTTTGCACAATAGTGCCTGCATTAACTGCCATATTAAGTTACAATGTTGTCGAAACCGGATCATAACTGTTTATAACCCCAGCTGCCGAACATGTGGACCCTATTGAGAAGTATTATGGAAATTCGGAGAAACCCAATAATGGATTGATTCGTTTCAATTCTTCAATTACTCTCTAATATAAAGATTTTCCAACTTCCAGTTGACTTTATATCGCATTTATTGATCAATATGTGAGTTACCTTTCAGTTGGTACTTTCTTCTACTCTTAAAAACTCTGTTTTTGCTAAGAAAAATTTGTCCGTTAAAAAATTACAAATTCAATTTTCTCTGTTCAAATATTGAAAAGTCGTAAAAAACTCTTTCAATAGCCATTCGAGTAATCAACATTTAACATTGTTAGCCACGATTTCAAAAATTTTTTCGAACTTTTCAATATTTATAATATACAAATATATATTGTAGTAAATTCGGACATCTACAATGGTTTTAATCACGCCAATGGAGGCGTGCGCAAAAAATTAGCAATGTGCTCAGCCCATTGAGGCGGATGCAAATTTCGGAAATAAAATTTATCGTCACATTGATAAGAAATTTTAATTAAACTGCATGCAAAAAAGTGGACATCGCTCGGTGCGAACACATTCAACGACGACAATCAAGGCGGTGCTTGAAAGTGATGACACAGCGACATGGCGCTGCAGACACGGCGTTTAATTGAACAGCAGGCGCATTGAACACATCGCATGTGTGTGTGCGAAGGTGGATGCAGGCGTCACCTTTTGAATTCTCTTGATAGGATGACGCCACCGCTGATGAAATTCATTGAATGGACTTCAATTTATCGAAAATTTCATATTGGTTCAGAGAAAGCGCAGATAATTACGGAGATTCAAGTCAAAAGCAGTGCACGCATTGATGCAAGCACACTGTTGCATTTAACAGCTGTACCGCGTGGCAACGTCAGGTGAGTTCTTTGAATTAAATAAATTGGTTTATAGCTTAACACACTAGTGTGTGTGTGTGTATGCTGATAATTTTGAAGTCGGCTTTTTGAAACTTCGTTTTCTTTAATTAGTCGCTCTGGTACATATTAAGTGGCACACTGGTATCACGGCCTAAAAACGCAATATTTGCAGATTTAAATAAAATATTTTAAGAATACACAGTAAAATTTTTGAGGAAGAAATTAACATTGTTTCGAGCTCTCTACTGCTGCAGTGATTCTGGCTTTCTCCGTGGCTGAAAACTGAAAAACAAGAAATTCTCTACTAGAAGATATATTCAAAATCGACAAAATTGCGGTGTTTTAATAAAAAGGTTTAATTTTTGCCAAAATGTTGGTCGTTTTTTTCCCTGCCAAATTCGATTTTTGATCAGGTCAAAAAACTCGTACGTCATTGTATCGAGAAAATTTTATTACGTACAGATCATGATGAAATTTGCTAGTGCTCAGATCATTATCCTAAGAGTAATCACTGCAGCAAATTCTAAAATTGCTATTTCGAGTAAAAAGCGTTTTAAAATAGACTTATTATGACTGAACTGAGCAGCTACACTTTAGAAACATAAAACCTAAAAAAAAAATATTTAAAATATTCATTTAAATTTTTTTAAATTATTTTTAAAGCTATAGACCAATGAAATACGCAAAAAATAAAAAAATTAACAAGTAAACGAGTTAACTTCGATTGCACCGCAGCTACTATAACCTTCACAAATAAAAAATATTCCTTGCATGACCTAGATTCCGATCGTTTAGCTTGTAGGGCAGCTTTATGCTATAGTTATTCGATCTGAAATATTTCTTCGGAGATTGTATTATTGCTTTAGATAATAACGCATGCCAAATATCTCAAAGATATCTCGACAAGTAAAAAAGTTTTCCTAACAAGAACTTGATTTTGTTCGTTAAATTTGTATGGCTGCTCCAATACCGGCTGTTCTAAAAAATGAGCAGTTTTCTGGGGAGAAAAGAACTTGTAAGCCTCAGTTCCTTCACCGTTGGTCCGGTTTTTCCAAAAATGGACACAGAGATCTCTTCTTTACCCATCCTTACATGAAAATTCTCAAGATAAATTCTGATACAGGAAAAGATAATGTCATTTGACTTGATTTTTTTGCAGGAAAAGTGGGATTTTGAATTGTAAGCGTAGGTATGATATTATCTATCAAGAATCGATTTCTATGATAAACATTATTTGTAATTTTGTTAAAAAAAGTCTTCCAGACTAGCCACTCAAAATTTTCTACTTAGGTTTCTCAGGGACAAGTCCTGAGACTATAAGTTAGATCCCGTTTCTTAGGTGTTCTTAAATAGGTAGAGTTTAAAAACCTCCACTTTATCTAATATCTGCAGTTACAAAAAAATCAAAATATAAAAAATAGTTTTATGTAAACTACCACAGACAATAAAAAAATAACAAAAATAGATTATATAAGCAACGACAACACCAAACAATTTATTTTTTTCACTTTTAACCTTAAAATTGTCATTGTTTTGATGCGAGGTCTCTCTGTTGCGTCATAATGCCTCAAACTTTATACAATATATTTATTTGACCGGTGGAAGAATGACAATAGCCGACAGCCTTCAAAAGCAAATACTCCAAAGGACAACCAATCGACGTGCCAGAAAATTAAATTCAAAATAACAAAAACGATGAATTCAAAAGAAACAAAAAGCCTGACCCGTCGCTGTTGCTGTTGCAAATGAACAGTACAAAGCGTCACAATTGCAACAGTGAGGGCAACAAATGAAAAATAAGGGCCGTAATAATAACAAGTAAGCAAGCAAAAACCAACTTCAATGTTATACGTTGGGTATAATAAAAGCAGATAATAATTTCGAGTTTAGTCTAAAGGAAGTTTAACTGAAAAACGGGGGGCGTACTCAGGTTAGTAGCACCAAATATGGCTTCAATTCGCGCGACCCGTAGTTTGACCTCTATTGAATCCTAGGAGTCCCAATTTTCGACCGTCTTTACTCGTTTTATTATTGTTCCGTGCAATAATCGCTCTATAAACAAAAAATTATAACACATCCCCGCGTTTGAAAATATTAGTAATAAAATAGTATAAGCTTCTTGTCTGTATACCTTTTATTCGTATAGAACTAACGCTATTTCAGAAAGCTGACATTTTAAAAGATTTTATATTAGGGTTGCCATCTGTTGAAATGTTTTGTTCCAAGTGATTTATTAGTTGAATGAAGTTTGCAGTGTTTAAGTTTAAGAAAAATATTTATCTAAGATATTTACTAAAGGGGCTGCCACCTGTTTTTAATATCTTGGATTGTTATGAATGAAATCTCTAATTCTTCTCAATATACCTTTTTGAATACATTGCTTATATGGAATTTTCTGCACAGAATTTTTTTTTATAAAACTACCGTTATTAGTAGCATCCCTCTGTTGCATATTGCACAAGGGTATAGGAAATATGAGCCGACGCAACCGGGTCGTAGTAGTGTGACAGGTGTGAAAAATGCGCCACAACAATACAGTTTACTTACAACAAATAACAAAAAGAGCAAATATTGAAAGCAATAACAAAAACATCTTGAATATTAACGATGCCACTTGCAATAGAAACAAGTTTTATTAACAACTTTTGACTTTCTCGCATCGCAATCGGCAACGAATAGAAGAGAAGCAACAACAACAAAAGCACATTATTGCCAACATAAAGAAGTAAAGACCTATTCTGGCACCATTCTGCTAAAACATTTTTAGTATAGAAGGAACTTTACACTCCAAAATATTCCAATAATTTCTCGTGAATTGCTGAATTTGTATTGCTTTTAATCGAGATTAATGAAATTCTTTGACTTTTAAAACCAAATTTTTTAATTTTATTTTGTTAATTTTAGGTTATAAAAAAGTATAGTAAAGTACTAACAAAATCTATCATTTGAAATGCAGGTATTATGGTCGATGTTTCCAGCGTAATATATTATATATCTCCTATTTTTAAAGAAGCATTTTCTCAAAACATCAGAAACAATAACATAATAATATTGGCCTCCTATGTTTAATCTTGAAATGATTCCAACGTTGTTATGTTCTATAGTAATTGTGTAACAGAAAGAAAAAGTTTCCAAATAGTACCAAAAAGTTGTAAAATATCAAATCCTAGTTATTAAGTTTATTCTATGTTTACCGAGTTGACTTTCCGTGGAAGGATAAAAAGTTCGGATCGTTTCTGGTTACGTAGATCTTACTGTACTGGGATTAAATCATTGAAATTTATAGAAAAAGAAATTCATATAAAGAGATTTGAATATTTAGCTCGAAGAAGCATCTTACTGTTATCTATCGTCCTAAAGGAATGGACGGAGAACCTTCAAGGATTCCTATTTGTCCTCTCAACTCTCCTTGATCTCAACGTTTTAAGAGACGACAGAAGTTCCAGGAACTATGTTAACCATGGATTGTGTTCAAGAAAACACGAGTCTTTTCTTCTAACATTAATATCCACAGAAATTGTTGATTTTAATTTCACAAATATTGCGAGTTTATTTTTTACAAAAATATCACTGCGTAATGCTTTTCTGCAGACCCCCGTATGTGTTAATATCATTACCTGGAATCAACCAAGAACCCGATCGGACTTATACAACGCGAGATACAGATAAATAACGGTATCTATTGGAAGCATAATGGATTTCTTTTTATTACATCTAATATTAAGTTTGCCACGATGTTGGTAATACCCCAAACGAAACGTCGGAGACTCTAAAAAGTAAACATCTAAATGATCAGCATGATGAGCTGCGTCGATTGAGCCATGTCTGTCTGTCTATATGCGAACTAGTCCCTCAGTTTTAATCGATATCGATCTGAAATTTTGTACACGTCTTTTTCTCCCCAAGAAGCTGCTCATTTGTCGGAATCGCCATTATCGGACTACTATAGCCTATAGCTGCCATACAAACTGAACGATCGGAATCAAGTGCTTGTATGGAAAACTTTTTCATTTGATAAAGTATCTCTACTAAATTTTGTATGTACTTGTATTATTGCCCAATGCAACGGTGTACTCTCCAAAGAAATTGCTCTGGTCAGAGTACTTTAGCATATACCTGCCGTACAAACTGTACAATCGTAATCAAGTCTTTGTATGGAAGCTTCATTATTTGCGTAGGGTATTCATGCATCGGTGCAAATGAAGTTAATGTTTTTTCATGTTTATTTTGTCAGTTTCTCAATTTCTTTTCCAACCTCGCATTATTTTCATTCGCAATATTAGTTTCCTTTTTTATTTGACATTTCCGATTGCGAAATATCAATTTCTCTTTGAACTCATTCGCCAAAAGGTTTGCCCCAAAAACAAGCGTGTGTGCTACAATCTCTGGTGCCAATATAAATGAGTATGACCAAATGACATGCCAAGTCAACGATAATAAAGCCCAAACACTTCAAGTAACTACTTTTTATTTAGACGATAAAAATTGACAGCAAAAAACGCTGTTTTCGAAAACATAAAAAATGTCTAGCGAGCAACACAAAAAATATTGACAAAACAAGAAATTACAAGGAGACAAGACGTAGAAAAAGAAAAAGACGTGTCCGTTTTTTGTCGCGAATTGCATGTCTTTCTCACATTTCACTGCATTGTCCTGCGTCGGTTAACGGCGACGGCGAGGGTCGGAGCTGTGAGTAAAGTAAAGTGTTTGCAATTTTTGTCGATCGTTCATTTGCAGCGCATTTCCGTTTGTGCTTGCCACATTGCCTGACAACATTAAACTGCAATAAAACAAATAGCAATTTTGGCATCGATATCAATAAGAAATGCCTTTCGGGGTACGGCAGGTGAGAGCGGATATGGAGAGCGAGCTGTCGGCTGCGATGTCTGTGTTCTTTGACAGGTGTTTGTGGAAATTGTTTTCTGTTATTGACAATTTTCCATTTTCATACTCGCTATTGTTGGTGTTGTAGCGAACTCTATTACGCAATTGCTTTGGTT